CAACCCTATGCGACCCTTTAAACCAGATTCCCCGTACCGCGATTAGTTAAAAAATATATTATAACGACACTTATATAAGTCATAATAATAACTCAAATATTTATTATAAGTTCATAATAACAATACTAATTTTAAATATAAGCTATATTAAAATAGGTAAGCATAACTTACTTACAAGGGGGTTTTAGCTAGGAGTCGGGCTCTGCAGGGGCAGAACTTCGTCGCTGAATCTTTCTAAGAAAGATTCGTGCAGCGCTTCAACGCTCACCTTACTATACTAAAACTATAGAAAGAGAAGTCGAATCACGAGGGACCGAAATGCTCGGGGGATAAGAAGAGAAAGACTCTTGAATCAAGAGAATGGTGCAAGAAATATGAGAGCCCAAGTCTCTTATTTATAGTAATTAAATTTACAAAAACTACCCTCCATAATTACTTAATGACCTTATAGTTATATAAACGACTAAACACCCCTTCATAATACTATTTTAAATAGATTTAATGATATTTGTACTAAACTAATGTCGAAAGTACTCAGCACTAGTCTTATAATAACCGCATCGTCGATACCTTTCTAATGATATATACATTTGTATATATATGTGTACGTATATATGATTTATACTTTATTTTAATACGTAAATATGTTATTATAATTTGTAACTCGTTCATACGAACTCCATTTTTGACGTTATTTATATCCACGCGTTGGTATTTACGAGTACTACAACTTTCATTTAGATCCCGTCGGCTAATTCTCATTCTATCTCAGATTTACAAATCTGTATCGAATTCCCTGCGCTCGAAGAGTAGGGACTAAGTTTCGTCCATATATTTAACATACGAGCTCTATTCTCGATGTTATTTATATCCACGCGTTGGTAAAAACAAGATCTAAAACTTTCATTTAGACTCCGTTGGCTAATTCTCGACCGATCTTAAATTTAACAGTATGAGGAGATTAGACTGTTAAATGACCGCGAAGAATTCGTAACTCCTTCATACGGACTCCGTTTTCGTCTGTCTTTTTATCGTTGAGTTCCTATTAATGAGATCTTCAACTCTCATTTAGGTCGCGTAGGCCGAAAACCGCTCGAACTAAAATTCGAGTTTCGGGTCGTGCACTGCTATGCCAAATCTTAGAAAATTCATAACTTCCTCATACGAAGTCAGATTTGGGCGTTCTTTTTATGGACGATATCGGTTTAACGTATATTACAACTTTTATTTAGATCACTAAAGCTAAAAAGTCATTTATCAAAAATTCACTATTTACGTCTCCCGACGTCGTGCCGGTTTTGCCGTAAAACTTCGACGGGCCATAACTTCTTCGTTATAACTCGGATTTCGGCGTTCTTTATACGTACGCAACCCTTGTAACATATACTACAACTTGGTTAAGATTAATCCTTCTAAATTATCTTCCATCAAAAACTCATTTTTGATGCTCATCGTCTCTAAATTGACTAGCCCGGATCTGCGGGCGTTACAGTTCAAAATTCTTCCATTATCACCAACAAGTCCAAAAAAACGTGGTCACAAGTTCCATGTAGCCAAAAACAAGTCGGCCCACCTCATTTCAAGCCCAAATCTACGAAATCAAGCACACTCCAAAGCCCAAATTAGTAAAGTCCACCTCCTTGGCAAGTAATCCATTTTTAATTGGGCTATCTAGGACCAAACATATATCAGAGCCCGTGGCAACTATATGTATGTTGCATTATATACTATGGATGATATTCTGTGGTTGTATGTTATGTGGTATTTTGGGGGAACTCACTAAGCTTTGTGCTTACGGTTTTTAGTTTATGTTTCAGGTAATCTGGTTTTTGATGGAAGGGCTCGGGATGATTGCATAGCACACACCGCATGTTTTCATTTTCTGTGAAATACTCTGATTTATCAATGCTTTGTTAAAAATCAAATTACATTGGTTTTTATGGGAAAGACGTGTGTTATCGATTTATTAATCTAAAAATAAAAAATTTTATTTCATGATTTTTGGGGCGTTACATCAAGTACCGTATTTCCTCCCTAAACTCGCATAGCTGTTGTCGCATGTCATCTCTCATTTCCTCAATCTGCACTTGGGTTTCCATGGCGTGAAGCTCGTAGTCAGTTGGTACGTCTTGGTCCGATACTCTGAAACCACCATATGAGAAGCTTTGTTCTGAGGCCATCTTCTTGATTTATAAGGGGGAAAAGATCGAAATTGGTTGTATTAAGCAAAGGTTACAGATTAGGGTAACAAAGTGGGTGAGGAACACAAATGTAGGATACCCTTCAATTTATAATGGGGAGCATCGAGGATGACCTGGCAAACTTGAGGACCAAGATAGGAACAGTACTAGTCCACTGTGGAGGTCACGTCACCAAAATATCCTTTAAACCTTTTACAATCGGTAAAAGGACGTAATTAAACGGTCATATGAGAGTTAGTTTCCTTAATGTGCAAAAAAAAATTGTTTAGTGACATTTTAAAACAACACGATAAGTTTGATGGGCTAATATGACATTTGTCCGTTAAACTAACATAACTACTTCGTAACAAGTCTAATCAACCAATTTTTTTTACCCATTGTTTTGGTTAAATTTTAAATTATGAGAACACCTTATTTGGTTATATATTGATTGGGTTACATGACCTTAAACATGGACTATAAAAGCTGATTTTTTTTAATATTGTAATAACCCTGATTTTCGGTTATTTCCGATTTCGAACACCAAACTAATTCTAAAGCGAGGATGCTAAAAAATTTCTATCAGACCACCCTTATACCCACCACATACCATATATGTGGTGGGTGCCGCATCAGCACCACATTCCTCCACCACTAACATGGGACACCTATCATTAACACACAACTCCACCTTATTTTTTTTAGTTCAAAAATACAATAAAATCATTTTTTCAATACTAGTTTTCCATTAAATTAAAATATCAAATTACATTAAATAAAAACTACATTAATTGAAATAAAAAAATAAAAATAACATTAAAAATAAAAAATATATTACTTAAAATAATAAAAAAACATCAAAAAAAAACCTAAAAATACCAAGCATGAATAAAATAAACTACCCCCTACGCCTACGTCGGGTTCGAACCGACTCTTTCATCGCGAGAAAAGGCTCCAAGTCTTCGCCGTCGAGGTCGTCCGCTTTCATTTTCAAGATTTTCATATCGGTTTTTGTTTGGATCGTCGCTTGTGTCTCTTGAAATGATGTTTGTGCTTCAATCATTTTTTGTTCCATCCGATTCATCACCTCGGACTTCGTTTTTTGAACTTGCACATATCGATCAAATTTATCGCCAAAAAGATTCATAACACTAGAGCTCGAAGATGTTGAAGCCGCTTTTTTGCTTTATTTCTTCCAACGGGCCGACGAAGAGGTTGCTCGTTTTCAAGATCTAGCGGATCATCGTTGATGTCGATGTGTGTTCGGCCGTCCGATTGTTGGGAAGTTCCATCAGGTTTTCTCGAACGCTTTGAACCGGAAGATTGCGAAGTTCCTTCCGTTTGCTCTTTCCATTTTGGAGCATCTTTCAATTTTAGCCACGATTTCATATACGGAAAAGTTTTGCGTGTTGGAGTTGTTTTTTCAAATTGATCCATGGCCGCCTTGAAGACATCAAAATCGTTTGACCCGCTTTTGCGTATGTTTAGGAGGTTATTGTAGATTCCTCCAAATTCGGTGCATTTTAGTCGAATATCGCGCCACTTCGACGTAAATTGATCTGCATTTCGAGTTTCACTTTCCATTAACTCGTAGAAAATGGCTCGAACTTTCTCCCAAAAACTTCCGTAAGGTTGACTATCTCCTACAATTGGGTCTTGGGAAGCCGACACCCATGACTCCGCTAACTTTTCTTCTTCGTCTTTTATCCATGGGACCCTTTCTTGGGTGGTGGTGGGTCGGCCCGATTTTTTCCTTTTTTCTTTTTTGGTTGAGGTGGTGGTGAATGTTGCGTTTCCGAAACAAAATCCGGCGAAAGTGGTGGTTGTGAAATTGGTGGTTATTGTGGTTGTGACGCTTGTTGTTGAAGTTGTTGTAGTTGTTGGTATTGTTGTTGGATTTGTTGTTGTTGGAAGGTTGGAAAAAGTTGATACTGTTGTTGGAAAAGTGATGTTTGTTGGATAGGGGAACCAGTTTGAAGCAAATTGACAAAACCGCATTGAGGTGATTCCATAGTCGGGAATTGGCAAGGGGTTGTATCTAACGCAAAAGCGTTATCGGGTTTGCGATTTTTATAGTTTGGAGGGGTATTTTGGTTGGGATCCATGGTTTTTGGTTGTGAAGATGTAGTGTGTATTTTGTGTATAGAGAAAGAAAATAATGGTGTAAGAAATAAGGGATAAAAGTGTGGTATTTATAGGTAAATAAATTGGTTAAATTTTTGTTTATTTTTTTTTTAAATAAACTAGTCGTTGAACGGCTATAAACATTTGGTCAAAAAGTGGGTTGCGATCTTAGGCCGTCCGGTATACCCAGGACGAAGGCCTTCGTGGTCTAGCTGGCCACGAACCACGATCGTGCACACCGCACACCATCCCGGTGCCTCGTCGTGGCTCGTGATCGTGACGGTTTGTGTTGGGGACGACAGAGGAGGTCGATTAATCAAGTCTCTCTTCTCCTCTCTTCCTGTCTTCTTCTCTCTTGCAGACCACGAGACATCACATGTTGAGCGCCATCCCGACTAGGTTGAGGAAGACTTGTGGTGGTGACGTGGAGGTGGAAGACGGTGGTGGTCGTGAAGACCATAACGGATGGTATTATTCATCGTTTGCATTCGTTATTCCGAACACGAGCCATCACGGAAACGCCCGACCACGAAACAACGGGGTGGTGTGTACGGCCGTTGTTCGTGACCAGCTCAACCAGATCGGCCTTGTTGCATGTATACGGGAAGGCCTCACAACCGGTGTCATAGCCAAAATGACTAGTACCATATCCGAAAACCGGTTCTCATATATTGTTAGAATAATTAGTTATTTAATTAACTGTTTGGGCGAAAATCCCAACGAAAGCTCAAGTAAAGTATCGTGCCATTCGTCACTCTCGTTTCTTGATTCAGATCGAAGCTATCCATACCTTCATTAATGGCGAATCGACGACCTTCATCTCTCTTTTTCTCTTCTTTCTTCTCACCAAGAGGCGACACTCTCCTCTACCTCATCGCATTTCTCTCTATCTTCTCCCTCCTCCTCCACCACCTTTCCATCTCCGCATCCGCCGACTCGCACTTCGAAGGCTTCGACGCCGATGACGAAGTTGAAGATGATTCATTTCTCAGCCAATCATCGTTATCCGATCTCCCCCGTCGTTCCCCTCCTCCTTCCACCACCCTATCTATCTCCTCTGATCCTGAATCCCATCATGGCCCCCCTGATCCCTCCGACGACTCGTCCATGCCATCTGATCCCGATCTTTCCGGTAAACCCTCCACGACACCATCATCATTTGATTACTGGGATGAAGACGAGTTCGAAGGCTTCCCTACTGAACTAACACCACCAGAAGTCGCCAAAGATGCCGCACCTACCACTCCGGCTGGTTCTGTATCAGCCGAACCGGATGATGCTCTGAAGATTTCGGAACCCGTTTCGTTGACAAAGAGGATTAGATCGTATATAATCGAGATTGTATGTGTATCATTCTTGATACTATTTACAATAAACTATTTCACTGGGAAAAAGGAGAATGAAACCCTAGCCCTAGCTTGGGCAGCGAAATTCGCCACCAGGGACACAATTTTTGAGAAGAACTTCAGCTTGTTAGGTGTTGGTGATGGTGATGACTCGCCATTGCTATTGAAAGAAGGTCAAAACGTGTTTAAGTTTTACGCTAGTGGACGTAGGTATTGTCAAGGGTTGTTGGCTACAATTGAACTCAAGAGTCGACATGATCTGATAGCGAGATTGTATAATATGATTGTGCCATGTAAAGATGAGATTACTTTTGAGGTTTATATGAATGAAGACGCCATGGATCATGTGGTATTTGCTTTGGCTAAGAAAAAGGCTGCAAAAACTATGCAGAAGGAAGTGAGGGATCTTCAGAGATTTGCTAATGTCTTGGCGTCTGGGCCAAATGGTAGGAAGTGGGTTGCAGATGAACTGTCAGTTATCACTGAGTCGAAGGAAGTGGCTGGAGATCTGATCACTGAAGCTGTTCTTGATCAGGTTAGTAACTATGCTTCTTTCCAATCATTTCACTAATAATCAATCACTTCTTTTAAAACCATCGGGTGTTTGGATGTGGGTATTCAAAGTGATTATTTCCATTTGAAGGATCAGAATTCAATAATTAGTTCATTAAATTCAGAGATAGTTACATAAATTTACATTTATTCTGTTCTATATATAGAAAACTGAATTGCAAACTTATCATGTGCATGAGATTAAACAATGTAAATTCCATTCCATCTTTATAGGTATTTGGTGAAAAATCATTTGAGAAATTTGGAAAGTGGTTCATATCAATGCACTTCTCAGATCAACATCAGAGTTCACACAGGAAGATGTTGGTATTTAGGTTTGCAATCCCTGATGTTAACAATATGGCTGACATGACACGCCTAGTGGCTCTAGTGCCCTATTACATCGAGTTAATCGGGCGTTATAAACTCAGTTCACAGGTGACTCAGTTTTTCCTTCACCCTTTTCAATATAAATGAGAGTAGGATGCTATAACAAAAAAAAATGAAAGTAGGTTGCTATTTCTTACATTAAATTGTTTTGAAACAGGCTCGATCGAAAACTGAAGCAGCAAGAACAAAAGTTGCACAGGAGGTGTACAAGGAACTTCAAAATGCAAGGCAAGAAGCTTTACAGAAAAAGAAGGCAGAGAGGAGGAAGATGCTGGAAGAAGCCGAGTCAAAACTTAATGCGGAAGCTCTTCGTAGGAAAGAAGCAAAAGAACGTGCACGACAACTTAAGAAAGCAATGCCTAAGATCAAGATGTCACGTGGTGCGTAGATTTAGGTTTAACATTTGTAGTCTTATCATCATTATACATCTTTGTAGTGAATAAGAAATTGTATTGGTTTCTAGACCTATTTGATGTATCATTTGCTTGATTCTTAAAAGTTTTATGCAACTAGACTTGTGTTACACAAGGATTCGAATGAGCCTTTATTTTCAAGCATGAGCTTGAACTCGAACTCGATAAAATAATAAGCACTTTTGAGTTGAGGTCGTCTCCACTTGAGTCGATTAGTTATTAAACAACTAAATTACATTAAATTGCAATAGAAATATGATTAAACCTACGGGCTTGACTCGGCCCGACTTGATTCAACTTGATTATGTAAATATGGGGATTCTATCTACACCATGGTTGAATGCCATTTAAAAGGTCAAAACCACTATTTGTAAAGTCAAATAGAAAAACTATTAAAAAACGGTGATAATCATGTTAAATAATGATAGCTTTAATATGATGTCAGCGTAGCGTCGGACTCCCTTTTATATTACTTTGACACTTTTTAAGTAGTTTTATTTATATTTTTTTGTTTAAACTAATTAATTTTATATCAATGTTTATAATATATAATTTTAGTTTCTAACAACTATTTTACACATTTTACTTTTTATTTATTGGTGTAATAATCTTTAAATTAAAATTCTTATAATAAAAAAAAAAATTGTTTATCAACTACCATAATTTTTTTTGTCTTTTTCGTTATATTTGATTAGTCTCATATTAATATTTTTTGTCATTTTTTTTTCTATGTTGGTCGTCCTAGCCGCACCTAACCGATTAATCTCTATGTATGTAGAAGGTCGGTTTAAAGATATGGTGGGCCGGTCCAAATTTAATTCATATATATATATATATATATATATATATATATATATATATATATATATGGTCCGGATCCGGTATGAACACACAAATTGGTAGGAACCACGATAATTATTCTCCACCAATCATTTCGTCAAGGGCACAAACGTCAAACTCATTTATTTGTCGTGACGCGTTCGCACGCGATGCATGTGCATGGAACGTAATACGAGCTCGAGGGAATAATCATGTGCGACCAATGTTCATGGAACCCCATTTAAATGAGTTTTTCCTTTTCTTTTTCATTTATTTGTTTTTTTGTTGTTGTTATTATTATTATTATTATTATTCGTTAAAAAATCAATTTTTTAAACAGATATATGCTCGGTTTTAAAGACTTTATTTTTTTCGTTTTTTTTAACTTTTTTTCGTTTTTTTTTAAAGTTGTTTTCTTTGTTTTCTTTTTTTTTTTTTAATATCTTTACTACATACTTGAAGATAGTAGGGTTTCTTTTCTTTTTTTTTTGTTTTTTTTTTAAACTAAATATCGGTTTGGGTTTTAATGTTTAATAGTTATAAAATTTTAAATAAGAAGAATATTAAGGATCATAATATTTTCCGTTCATACTTTTTTTTAATCATATAATTTTTGGATCATAAAATTTTGAATCATAGTATTTTGAATTATAACGATACTATGCATCATATATTTTTGGATCATATTAATCTGGATCATAATATATTGAATTAAATAAAGTTTTTGTTCAATACAACATTTGGATCATTATATTTTTTGAATCATTAAAAATATAATAATTAAGATCATTAAATATTTGAATCAAAATATTTTTAGATCATAACAAGTTAAAGATCATAAACATATTGAATTATAATATTTTGAATTATCTCTATTTGTATCATATTATGTTCAACATTTTTTTGAAACACTTTTAATCTTTTAAAATCAATTTTGGTATCTAAAACACCTTATTTTTTAAAAATTCTTTTTACAAAGTCATTAGAATAGAGAGTAGAAGTATTCTTTAAATTTTTATAATTTTTGAAGAATTTTTTTTCTGGGTTTTTTTATAAATATATGTAACATTTAAAAATTTTCAACAAATTTGAAATTTTCAAAACAACTTATTTACTGATAAAAGTATTTACAAAAACATCGTCTTCAAAACATGATTTAAAATCAGAGTCTCCCAAGATCCAATTTGTTGTAATGTAACGTCTGATTTCTGGTACACATTTTATTATAATTTATTCATTTTTGAAGAGCTACTCGACGAGTTGGGAGCCCCAGACTCGTCGAGTAGAAACGAGATTGGACGCGGGATTTAAGTCGCCTACTCGACGAGTTGAGAAGCCTCGACCTAACGAGTAGGGCTATCAGGATGAAACCCTAATTTCGGGGTTTTACACCCTATTTAAGCATCTTAATCCCCACCTTATAGCCTCATTTCCAACCTCCAAGTCCCAAACCCTAATCCACGAAACCCTACAGCTAAGTGTGGACTTGTGAGCCATTTTTAAGTGATCTTTGTGTGATTTGAAGCTTTTAGAAGAAGAATAGGCTAGAGGATTCCAGGAGGAAATTGTAGATCCAGAAACAACATCTCATCCTCTTCATTTTCTGGTAAGCAAGCCCCAACCTTGCTTAGTAGTTTGTTAGATCTCCATTTTATCTTATTCATGTCGTTTTTGGTCCAAAAAGCTTAGTCCTTGGGATATGGACGTCCCAAGTGATCTACCTTTTAGATCTGGGGTCTAGAAGGGGTTTCATGGCGTAAAGGTGCAAACTTTATGACCATGGAAGCCCCATGCAAGCTTTAAAGTGTTAGTATAGCCTTTTAAGCCCCAAAAGACCGTGCATGGAAGTAAAGTTAGGAGCTTTACGTGTTCAAATGATGTCTAAGGCCTAAATCTATGTTATTATGCTTTGGTTTGAAGTATTATGGCTTTTGGTCCAAGATCTATGTCCTAGAGAACTAGGGTTTTAGCTAAACCCATTAAGAAGGACTAATGACGGGTAAAGTTGGAAACTTTACCCTTAAAAGGGCATTTCCAGTATGTAGATGAAGTAGGGAGTTTGGATCTAAAGGATAGGAGCTTAATCTGTTAAGATGACTCAATCAGGCTAGGGAACACGGCGAGTCCAGAGAGGGACTCGATGAGTTGAGTCGTTTTGTCCCAATGTTGTACAAGGTAGAACTCGGCGAGTCTGCGAAAGGACTCGACGAGTTGATTCGCCAAATCACGACTATGAGTAGCTAGGGAACTCGGCGAGTCAGGGGGATGACTCGACGAGTTGGATCGTGATTTCAGGGTTTGAGTTATAGAACTCGACGAGTTGATGAGTCAACTCAGCGAGTTAAGTCAGCCCAGGACGTTGACTTTGACCAGAATGTTGACTTTGACCAGGGGTAAAATGGTCATTTTGCCCTAAGCATGATTATCAGATTTTGACTAAGTGTTATTGTGATAATGATAGCCGGGGAGTCTTTGGAGCAGCCGTAAGAGATTTCTCACCGTGAGATTTCACATCCAGTTTTGCGAGGTGAGTTTCCTTCAGTAGGAACGGGTCGAAGGCACCAACGCCGGCCCGTGTAGAGTAGCTAAGAGTGGGCTGGGCCCGTATCTTAGAATTGTTTATGATTAGTAGCTAAGTGTGGGGAGGGCCCATATCTTAGTATTATATGAGTATGTTTATGAATTGGTAGATTTTGGTATACTTATTGTCTGTGTGATACTTGTATGTATGTTTAGGTAGCGGGGTGTGGGCGGGGGCCCGTATCCTCCGAATAGCAGAGTGTGGGCGAGGCTCGTATCTCCTAGTTAGCAGAGTGTGGGCGAGGCCCGTATCTCTGAGATAGCTGAGTGTGGGCGAGGCCTGTAACTCATAGTTAGCCGAGTGTGGGCGGGGGCCCGTATCTCCTTGAGTGTGGGCGAGGCCCGTATCTCCTAGCTTTATGTTATATGCTATGTGTATGGTATGTGGTAGTTTGGGGAGACTCGCTAAGCTTCGTGCTTAAAGTTTTCAGTTTTGGTTTCAGGTACTTCCGGTAGCAAAGGGAAGAGCTCAGGATGACTCCATTACACACACCACAACGTTTTAGCCTGGGAGGATTTACTCTGATGATTTGACATATGATTTGGATACAGTGTTTTGTCATGATGTTTTGAAATATTACTACTTAAGTTTTTATGTGATGATTAGATTACTATGATTTTATAATGATTTAAAACGATATTTTTGGACCGTATTTTTAGGATGTTTCATGTAAAACCAAGGATATGTACGGTCACGCCTTCGTCTTGCCACGAATCGACTGAAGAACCTGAAACCATAAACAAAACTTTAAGCATGAAGCTTAGTGAGTTCCTCCAAAGTACCAACACTCAAACATATAACATATACAAATAACTGTTGGATATAGTGTCTAAGTCCATAACTATATTTGGTATGTACTTGAGCCGACCTGGCATGGTCCATTTGGGTTGCATGGCATTGCAATACTTGGATAGACCAAAATGAGAGAAAGGATACTTAAGGTTTATTAATATATTATAAGTACTAATATATTAATAATATGATTTAATTAGTATTGATCAAAGAACTAATTAAGTGATCAAAAAGAGACTAATTAAATATATGGGGTTGATTGTGTAAATAATCTATTCTTGTATAGTGGGCTAATGATCCATGGTTTGTATGGATTGGGCTAAAACCCATAAGGTGCTCCATGGATAGTCCATGGAGGTTACAAACCCATGGATCATGGAATATGGAAATCCATGACAATTAGGGTTTACATGGTGTAACCCTACTTGTGTCACAACTATATAAAGACTCATTGTCTAGCAAAATCGGCACTACTACAAGCAAGTAAGAGGGCTATCCGATTTTTGAGTATAGTGAACTTCTCTCAAGGTTATTCCAAGAATTGTGGTGTTGTGTGAAGCATTTGAGGCATCACATTTGGGGTGCTAGGTTCACAAAGTCATCAAGTAATCCAAGCTACTAAAAGGTATGTTATTCTACTTGAGTTTTGTATTACAAGTTCCCCATAACATGCTAGATAGGAATAAACCTTGGAAAATCAAATTTGCATGTATTTAGAGAAAACGTAGATCCAAGGTTTCTAGGGTTGCATGTACACCATAGGAGTGTTAGAATGCTCAAAACCCAAAA